AAGCAGAAGCAGCACCTGGAAGAAGAGTTTGAGAACCACTGTTCTAACAAGTGGGACTTTAGCACCAGCATGCTCTGGCCCAGCTAGTTTGGCTGTTCTGTAAGCTAGGATGGAACTGGAGGCTGCCTGCCCTAGTCAGAACACCAGCTGGCAGGCACGTGGAGGCTGATCACCACTACACATGTGATTGTTGGCTGGGGCCCTCTCCTGACGTTTCTACAACTAATGTAGCACCCAGCCCCCTGTAGCTTCACACTGGCTGGACACCCAACACTGGCTGGAGCCAGACACATGATTGCAGAACATGTCACATTTTGGAACACCATCCCTGACTATTTTGTCATTTAGTCCTGTTATTTTTTCCTCACTCCCCTGCTCCACCCCCTCTGGACTGCTGCCACACTCCGTTTGCTCCCTTTCACCCAACTGGCATTTATCACTGTCCTCATTATAAAGTTGGAATTCACCACAGCTGGTCTCAGGCTCAGGTTTCAGCTGAGCTGGAGTTGGGAGGGGGGAGAAGAGGCAGAAGGAATTGATGCTTCATCGTTTCCAGGGTGATGGCAGGGTGTATAAAGTTGGCCGGGCAGGCCCTTAACCCGGGTGCGAGGGACATGACTCCGGCAACAGGGTTTAGTTATTAAGATCAGTAACTTTATTGAAAAAAGACAGACAAGATTAAAATCAGTAAGTTTAGTTCAGAAGTTGAGACACCAACAGCATAGTTAAAAAAGCACAACACTGGTCACATCTGGAAGTGAGGACAGAGCTGCTGTGTTCCGCAGGCGGGAGACAGCCATTCTGCAAACGTGTGCCCCATCCCCCGGCCAAAGCAGTTGTCTGTTCAGCACAGGGAAGCCCTAGTTTGCTTTCTTGCTAAGCTTGCTTCCAGCTTTCGAGACTTTGCCTTCTGCATCATTTGCTTTGCTGATCAGAGAGCCTGTGGCTGCCTCTGGCTTCTTCCCCCTGCCTTTCACTGGGCTCTTTGCCTCAGACTTTCCTTTGGCAACAGTTTTCTTTGTCCCGCCAACTACCTTTGCTTTGGCCGACTTATTTTCATTTTTAGCCACCTTTGCCCTTGCAGGTCCCTTTGCCCCAGTAGCAGTCCCCTTGGCTTTGGAAGTGCTGATCTTGTCTCCCTGCTTTGCTTTGGAGGCACCATCTACATCTGTGGCTGGCTTCTCTTTGGAGGTGGCTTTCTTGGTCCCCACTGCCTTGGCTCGAGGGGCCTCTTTTGTACTTGGTATCTTGTCAGCTTTCACAATGTTCCGAGCAGAACTGTGTCCCTTTGACTTAGCAGGAGCTTTTGGCTGGCTCTACAAGAGAGTAGGGAAAAAAAAATGCCACTGCAATAGCAGCCTTCCCCAAGCCTGTGCCCAAGTTAGAGGCTGATTCTTCTTATCCGCTGCAGCTTCAAATTCCACAGCATAGACTTTTTTGCAGCATAAGCCACTGGCTATCTCTAAAGCCTATGAAGCAGTTCTTATCCCTTCCCCCCACCCCCTTTGCAGGAAGAAGAGTTAATGCTTCAGGACTCTAGAGCAGGAAGTGGTTTCTTTTCCAACGTTCCCTACAGATTCAGGCAAGTCCCTTTAACAAAAACATACCACCACAAACAGGAACCTGCAAGAGTGGCAGCGCCTGAAGCGAGTCACAAGGGAAGAGCTCACAGAACTGAACAAGGTAGACAGATGGAATCCCTCATTTGGCACCCAGTACTTACAGTAGTGGATTTTGCCTTGGGGATCTTGCTTGCAGGTTTTGGTTTCTGCTCCTTAGCATCTGTTGAGAAGACAGGAAAGAAGTGACATGAGTGAGTCTGTTACTTATGTCTACCAGATTGTCAGTGCCATGGGAAGGAAAGTTAGTTGTCTCTGGAGCTGCCTGCCCTAAGCTTCAGTGAAGCTCCGGTATTACTCATGCAGCACTAGAAGTGCCCCTGCTCTTTGAATAGGAACAAGGGCTCCCTCGAGGATCAAAGCAGTTGTAGAATCTACCACAAGGCTACTCAACTTTGTGGCCCCCGGGGCTTCCAATGATACTCACAGGACATGCCGAGGGCTGCAACTTCGTGTTGTTGCACATACATGCAAATAGATTGTCACAGACAGGCATGAATACAAAGATTAAAGCAAGACTACACAACAACAGGCCCCATTTAAGTCAGTTCTGCTGATATAATAAAGTGCAATATTTTCCCAATTTCCATCCATATAACAGCTCTTTTAATGAGCAACTATTGAAACACATATCAACAGAAGGCCATTATATTGGCTACTTTTGCTTTGGCTCCCACCTGCAGACCATGTGTGGAGCCCCACATAAACCCAAACTGCAGACCACATGTCGAGTATCCCTGATCTACCAGATAGCGTCCATGGAGTAACCACGCAGGCACGTGGGCTCCACTTTAGAGCAGGAACACTGCACCATAGACTTGGGTCAGATTTTAAATGGGATTTAGGTGCCTAAATAAGCACTGCTGACATTTTCAGAGCTGCAGCTCAGGCTAATTCTAATGCCACCTAGCGGATTAGCAGAGCACCCACATCTAGGGTCCCCCCCCCCGGTGGTGCACAGTTGCACATGCCTCAGTGCACATAAAAGTTATTCTGCACATGGATGGAAGATTAGAGGGAACATGGTCCCCACCACCAGCAGTACTGCAGTGAGTAAGTAACCTAGGCATCTAGATTTCCACTGATCTAGATTTTCAGAGCAGTCCAGTCAGTGGTCTCACTGCACCAGCAGGGAGATGCTTGGAGCTTTCACTTAAGCCAACATGCCAGAGGTCCTGAAAAAGAAGCTCAATCTAAGCATGGGAATGCCTATATCACCAGCAGGTCTCAGTCCTATGGCCATGCTCTAAACATGCCTAAGAGCAGACAGGCACCCCGGCAGCAGGAGTGGATGCTAGCCACCAGCAGAACGGGGGCAGTGCAGTACATGCTGGGGTCAGAGGAAGAGTCTGGAGCAGTTTCAGCTGCTAGGACATGGGCAACGCAAGCAGCTAGCCAGGCTTAGGAGGGTCTCATCCTGGAGAGGGAAGCACCATGCTGCCCATCAGCCAGGCACACCACGTCAGCCACTTCAGCACCTAAGCCCCTCTCCTGAGCATTTCATTCCTGGCTGACTGACGCAGATCCCCAGCTCTGAGAAATCCCTTTCCAAAACACTGGGGAGCCAGATTCATAAAGGCCATTTCTAGTCTTGATTCCAATGGAAGCCAAGGAGCTTTAACTATTCCAATGTGTTCCTTAGGAAGACAAGGTGACAGACTAATGCAGGGCAACTAGGCACAGAGTTCTGGGCACTGAGCAGAGCAATCCAGCCAAGTTATCAGACTTGGCCATGGACTGAGTGCACATTCTGGTCCCTCCCTCCCTCCTTTCAGAAAGATACACAGCATTGGTTTAAGACAGTGGCTCTTGCGACAAATGCTCAGCTTTTCTATAGGCTCCAGCCCAAATGAGATGCACACAATTCATGGCTAGCATAAAAGCCTTTCCACCACAGCAGTTTGGGTTCTAGTTCCTACACTGTGGACTCATCTAGACTATGCGGAAGATTCGAAAGAGGATATGCAAATTCCATGGGATCTCACTTCCAAAAGTGAAAATAATCAAGACGTGTTATTTTTCAGCAACCCCTCTCCCCTTTTTCAAAAAAGCCACGTAAACCTCATTTTTTGAGGAAAAGCAGCTTTTAAACAAACTACACACAAACACACCATGCTTGATTACTTTCACTTTCGAAGCTCCGCTTTCTAAAGTGAGAGCAGGAGATGTTATGCAAATTCCTTAGGAATTTGCATATCCTCTTTCGAATCTTCCACATTGTCTAGATGAGCCCTGTCTGCCAAGGTCACCACTGTAGAGAGAATCCTGAAGCCCTTCCTGAACACAGAGATTGGTCTCCTTGGGTGGCATTAAAATTCACATTTGATCTCTTTGCACACAGCTGACATCTCAGCAGGGAGCGTTAGTTTAGGAGGAGGAGAGGAAGGAAGCAGCCCTTACCTTTACTTATGGCTTTTTTATCAGCATCCATCTTAGCTTTGGGTTTCCTCTTCACCACCTTCTCCAATTTAGGAACCTTTCCTCCAGCTGGATCCATCTTCCCAGAGGTTTTTTTAAGCTTGGGCTTTTCTGATGCTAGCTAGAAGTACAAGAACAGAACCCTGAAACGGCTCTGCTCCAGCACATGCCTAGAGGGTTGCCACTTAACACAGTCGGTAAACCTGATCTATCCAGGACCAAACAAGCACAGAAGCTTGTCTGCAGGAGCTGGAAGTGTGGACTGAATTAGAGGTAGGTGGCCTCTCCCTTTGGCTGCAGGAACGTGTGCAGTATCTGCTGTAACACTGCATCACAAGAGGACATGCAGCCAAGGCTGGAGACTGGAAGTCACTTTCTATTGTCCCAGTCACATTGCAACAGTTAGTTGCCCTAGGGCATTCCAGCGTCCAAATCAGGGAAGGAATTAATATTTTCAGGGTAGAGATATCACATCTCTACTTAGCCAACAACAAACGCCTTTACAGAGCTGGGCAGAGCACTCTTCAACAACAGTACTGTGTACTCCCACTTAGAGGAGGGAACCTGTTCATCAATACTGGGTTGCTCATAACCCTACCTGCTCTGGAGAAACACTTCCCTCGCCCGGAGTCGTCACCCCATCCAGCCTGTCCTCTGAAATGCTGCTGCAGAGAGCATCGGAGAGACAGCCCACAATGCAAAGTGTGAGGACAGCCCTGGCCCATGCAACTGCTCCACTGTGGCTAAAGCCCCACACATTTCTACTGCCGGCTGGCTTTGTAGACAGACTATTCACTCACCTTGAACCTTCCAGTTGCTCCTAATGCTACGGAGTTTTGGGGTCTAATCAGGTAGCCGTGGTCAAGACCTTTAGCCAGGGCCTTCTTCAGCAGGTATTTTAGCCTGATAGGGTCCACAGCTGGGTACTTGGCAAGGATGTAGCGCTTGATGGCTATGACAGAGGTGCCCTTTTTTTCATTTTGGGCCTTCAGTGCTTCAATCACCATGCTTAGAGTTGGTGGGTGGTTAGGTCTAGTCTTATGGTTAAAGATCCCAGAGATCCTTGGCACTTTTGTTATTTCAGCTGAAGGGTAAAATGAAGAGGTTGCTTACACGTAACCAAACACCAGTCTTACGATACAATGCTCCCTTTTAACTCACCACAGTCATCCAAAAAAGCTCAAGTGAATTCACAAGTGGAGGACAGACAAGGTAGTTTCATAATCACATCTACAAGCCCCACACCTCATCGTACTAAGCACTGTACAAACACACGTGGTACATCTAGTTGTAGGAAGTAGGGAAGAGAAGAAGATGACATACTTGTGCTAGTGTTAAGATGCAATCATAGCTACAAATAGCTGTAAGAATGCAGGGGTACAGGTGTCAGCATGGGCTAGCAATGCAAGTAGCTACCCAGCATCTAGGCAACTTTATGCAGCCCATGCTGCTGAGTCATTACTGGCATTTCCAGTGAGCGAGCACAGGTAGGTGCCTGAATCAGCTATAAATCATGCCTCTAGCTAGAGTGTGGGCATACACCTAGAGAGAGACAGCCCAGCCTCAAGGGCCTGACAGGTCAAAGAGGCAGAGGAAGCATTATTAGTTCTATTTCACTGGTGGGTAACTGAGGCACATACAGACTAAGTGAGAAAGAATCACACAAGAAGCCTAGGGGCAAGCTAAAAGAGAACCCAAGTCTCTAGTCAAATGGTTTAGCCACACAGCCATCCTGCTTCCCATCAGAAACAGTAATATTATTTGTCAGCAGCATGGAGACACTAGAAGACCTCTAGAACACTAGCCTGATTCCAGGAAGGTTGGAGCCTTTCTCCCTTAAGCCCTCAGCTCTATAGGCACCAGCTTTTCCAGAAGCTGCTCTGAGTAGATCTCAGGCTTTTCATCAAGCTGGAAGAGGTCAGGGGGCTAAGTTACATTAAATATGCCAAGAGAAGCCAAATTCTGCCCCTTTCCAGAGAGGCTATGCTACAGTTGAATAAGAAAATAATAGTGACACAGATTGATACCCAAGGAGATTCATTTGCACCAAAGGGGATCAGAACTTTACCTTCACATGCAATGAAAACAAAACAAAAAAGGAAGAAGCCTGCACATTAGGGGTACTTTACCTTCACATGCAATGAAAACAAAAAAAAAAGAAGGAAGAAGCCTGCACATTAGGGGTGTTTGTTTAAGTATCTTTCCATACCTGGCTTGAAGTCCATTGCAAGATGCTCTAATACTGACACCAAACTTTATTTTAAAAGAGCCCTAACTAAGCTGGTTGCAAAGCAGGCTTTATTGACAAGTTCATCTCACTTTCCTGCTAATTCTTCTGATTAGCATCTTAATTGAGAGGGCTGCAGTTGGCAGCTGCTAATTATTCTTGTTCAGCTCCCAGTGAGATTAGGAACAGGTGGCTACAGTGCTGAGTTTACTTTGCCAACTCTTTGCAACAGGCTGGTGGGTGCTGGGGAGAATGTTCAGGAGGAAGGATTCCAAAAATGAAAGAGGTTCTTGTGTAACAACCACGTTCAATAGACAGATTACAGTAGCCACCCCTCATTTGGGAAATGTAATTTGCACGTGAAACAACACTGTGTCAGCTCATGTTCCCAGGAGGCAGCAGGAGGTCTGGGATGTGAGTGGTGCATCACTGCTTTGAACAGCATGGACCATCCCAAAGTTCAGAATAGTGATAGAAATGTAGCCGTGTTAGCCTGGTGTAGCTGAAACAAAAGACAGGACTATGCAGCACTTTAAAGACTAACAAGATGGTTTATAAGGTGATGAACTTTTGTGGGCCAGACCCACTTCCTCAGATCTAGCCCACGAAAGCTCATCACCTTATAAACCATCTTGTTAGTCTTTAAAGTGCTACATAGTCCTGTCCAATGTTCAGAGTGTTTGTGTGCGGGGAATACAGCCATGGCTGGGCATGCTGAGCCCATGTTCTCATCCTGCTGTAGGGAACAAGGGAGCTGAGCCTGCTGTGTTTCCTTTCCTACCACTAACTTCAGCAGACATGCAAGGTCCTAAGCACCTCACAGAAGGCATTCAGCCCTTCACAGCATTAGTCCTCACAGGAGTTTGCTAGCCTCATGCTAATACATTTTGGCAGGCTATGTGCTCCAGGGGCCATGGATTGAACAGCAAGGGATGCTGGAGGTCAGGGCAGAGGTGCATTGGCAGGATTGTGAAATAAAACTTTTGCTGGGCCTGCTTAGCCTTTAACTGACTTGAGCTAGCACTGCTCAGCCCCTCATTTTCATAAGCCCTTCACTCATCAGTTTCTAAAGGAAAAACAAAGCAGTTCCATAAGTCAAAGAAGGAAAAAGAAAAGATCCTTTGTTCCCTGATGATGAATGGAGCAAATGATTCTTCCAAGCTAGCATTCCAGGTGTTTTTAAAGAGCTCAGGTTCTGCTCCCTAGAGGATTCACCTGCTGCCATGAACAGAACTATGGCTTCCTCCCTCCGGTCTTTCTGCTGAAATTCCCCAATTAAAGAGTAAGCTTGTCTATGCTAACCAAGTCAAATATTAATAGCTGAGCTCCTAAGACGCTTATAACTGTTTGCTCTGATCTTCCCCCACTGGGCCCTTCCAGCTCTCTTCCCCTTGATCTGAGCCCATTCTGCAGCAGAACGCTGGGGGAATTGTGCTGTAGGAAATCATTGTCATTGAGATATAAATCTGACCTTTTGTGGTCACTAAAGAGCCCCTGGCAGTTTTTTGTAAAGATTCTGGACTCTTGGTGTCCTGGCTCAGTTCAAATTGGATCATTACATTGTCCCTAATCATATTCCACAACCCCAGTTTCTGTGCTGCTTTACTTCCTGGCTTACTGTTGTGCAGTGTTACTCTCAGCCATCAAATAGACGCAGTGTTTCACACTAGAGATGGCTACATATTCTTACATAATCCTTTGGGCGCTTTGACAGGAATGGTTGTAAGGCTTGAGCAAAGTGCTATTACAGGCCGTAACTACCTGGCTACGTCTAGACTGGCATGATTTTCCGGAAATGCTTTTAACAGAAAAGTTTTCCGTTAAAAGCATTTTC